ATGAATATATAAAAAGTACATTTAATCCGATTTTTACTATATATATTGACTATTAGATGAATATTAGTTAAAAACCTGTTAATTTGATTTTTCCAGCTTTTGGGTGCTCAACTTCTTGAACCATTTTACGAGCAACAATTTGAGGATGTTGAAAAGTTTTATGAATGTTATTAATCGATGAAAATGGAATAGAATGTTTATTTTTTTCAAAAACCAATAACCAATGTTCAGTTGTATGTTCTTGGAATCTCTCTTTTAAAATTTCAATTAATTCTTTGCGATTTTGAACTCTATCAGAATTGGTTTTGAATCTTTCATCATGCATCAATTCAACTTTATCAATTGATTCACATAAAATTTTAAATTGTTTTTCATTTCCAGTTCCAATCATTATAAAATCATCTTTTGTTTGAAATACTTGATATGGGACTATTGATGGGTGCGAGGTACCCAAACGCTTTGCTTCTTGGTTTGCTATCAAATAGTTGCTACCAATATTAGCCAATGACGCCACTTGACTTTCAATCAATGAACAATCAATCCATTGACCTTTGTTTGTACGTTGTCTTAAAAGAAGTGCTGCCATGATTGCTCCATGTGCATTAATTATAGAGAAATAAGTTCTGAGGATTATATTTATATAATTTCATGTTGCTAGATATAATAGTTTCGATTATTTTTTTAAAAAAATTTAATACCAACCATTAAATTTAAGTATAGTAGCTAAAACCCTTATCAATACAACTAATATTTAGTTACCAATCATTGCTTTCGATGCATGCTTGGATTCTTCAGGAACATGCTTTCTGTCGAATTTATAAAGTAGAATATTTTTACATTCTTGCAAAGCAGCCTTGAGTTCATTATTAGGTCTTTACGAAGTCACATTTCAAAACTCCTTCCGTAAATCACGTTCATTTTTAGTTAAATATTACTTTTTTTAAACATTCCCAGCGAACCAGCAAGTCTTATTTTATAATTTTTAGAGATTTTTTTTAGATCATCAAAAAATCTTGTTTTTAAATTATATATATAATCTTATATAGTAATAATGACGATGAATATATATATATATA